GAAGAAACCTGATAAGTGGTTGGATTGTATTCTGCAATTTAACAGTCCCTGGACTAGTACACGTCGTTCTCGCCTGTTGTTACGGTCCACAGTTTCCATGAACAACCTAGATTAAACTTAATTGCTTCGTGCCATACCAAATTTGTCTTTCGCTTCCAACATCTTTCACACCATGTACTAAATAAAGTATTCTCCTATTTAGACTTGGCTATAGCAGCATCTTCCTGCTTCCTGCTTCCTGCGTAGCCTCTTGAAAATACCCAATGTTCACCTAGCCTTCCTTCCAAGTCATGGAAGGAGAAACTCAATGTGGGTGTGGTCATAATGTAAATTAGCCAAATGGTTAACACATAATAATGATATATACATTCACTTTTTTTTTTTTTTTGGGTGTGTGACGAAGAGAGTCAAATCTTTTGTGTCGTAGTTTGTTTCCATAGAAGATGAGTCAGAATGCTGTAAATTGGCTGACTCTCTCTCTCTCTCTTTCTCTCTCTCGCTCTCACCCTCTCTATATACTTTTTTTTTTAATGGCCGACATTGAAAGAGTTACAAAGCAAGTCGCCCGAGAACAACATGAGTACTTTGCAGTCTGATGCAAGGATTTCACCGCACCCCGCCCTCAATATAACGTCGCTTGTTTGCCTTGACCCGCCATCTGCCCACGAGCAGCCCGTGCCTGGCATGCAGCATGTACCACTGGAGCCCGTCTGGCTCTCCTCCGCCAGACCCCCCCGTCTGTTTAGACCCTTCCCACTTCCATCCGCGCACTTTCGTCGCCGTCCATCAGGGAAATTAAAATTAGTTATTTCCCACCTGTTTGCTGTAAGGATTAGTCCTCTCGTTAACCTCCACCCTTGACATTTTATTAACCTGTTAGTGTCGGGAGAGCATCCTCTTAAATGTTTTTCCGGTATGAAATATTTCCTCTGGAGGTGCTGCGATATTTATGCGGAAGGGCAAAGGTGTTTACGGCTGCATATGGACGTTTACGGCTGTTTACCGAGTTGGCAATTGGCCATCTCTGTTCTTTTCTCTGTCTCACAGGTCGCCACAGTTCAAACACCACCTCTTCACCCTCTAAGTCAGGGGTGTCAAACTCATTTTTGTCGCGGGCCACTTTGGAGTGAACTTTTCCCTCGGCGGGCCGTTACGACAGTGAACGGTTTAATTACGCCGTTACGACAGTTTGATGTTTGTTCCATTATTGTTGAAGTGAGTTTAAACAGGGTCACAAAATGATTGCAAAATCGCAACGTCATTTATTACACATGACACTTTGGCATTTGAGGACAGATTCTAGCAAGGATCATAGAAGTTGACACATGATTTTCTTTCGCGGGCCACATAAAATGATGTGGCGGGCCAGATCTGGCCCCCGGGCCTCGACTTTGACACCTGTGCTCTAAGCGCTATATTATTGCAAGATTTTACACGGCTGAAGAGAGAAATGACAAAATCAGATAAACATCTCCACCCGTAGGACGTTTCATTCAATTTGCAGTCACACAGCTAAAATGGTTTAAAAAAAAAAAAAAAAAGGAAACGAGGTGGTCACACATGGCGAGCAAAGCTTAATGAACTAAAGATTTTTGTGATCCCATTTTTTTTTCTTTTTGCATGGTTGTGCATGATTGATTGAAACTCTCTCTCCTAGCCTGCGTCGCTCGTTAACTTTGCTGTCCTTTAACTTTGGCGCCCCGGTAGGGAAATTTGATTTATCTTTTGCTTAAAAAGGTGATTTTTTTTTTTTTCCAGTTGAACAGGCACTTGGAGGAAGGGGTAACTTTTCGTGTAGGAAAAAAAAAAGCAGCAACTAAATGTCACTGAGTAGAGGTGATCATTCCACTGGCTGTCGTTTGATTGGAGAAAAAAAAAACGCCCATCCCCACAACCCAACAATATTCTAACTCAAATGCTTTAACTTCTAGATCACCATGTTTTTTTTTTTTTTTTTTTAGGGCTTTCTGAAGTATGCACCATCCTTTTAGTGAATGTTCTTGTCAGGGAATATATTTGCTTTCCAGGATTAAACAAATGTATTGCTCTCATCCATTTTATGTTTTGTGAGAAAAGGCTGCCATTATTTCATTTCCAAGTGAAGTGTTACAATTGCAAGGGTGCAAATTGCTCACATTGGATTTTCATGAGGGCCACTCATGATTACATTTGCAGCTTGGAACATTTCCTCCTGCTAAACCTCCCCATTAGCAATGAAACATCAACATCAATTTTTTTTTCTTTACAGAAGTGTAAAATTGTTGTCACTCGTGCGTTATTTCACACATGGCCAAAGAATTTTGCGCATGTGTATGAAGGTTTACAACTTGATGCTGAGCCAAATATGATGCCGAGCCCTTGGCGGACGTCTGTGCTCTGCCGAATGACATTTGCGTTTATTTTAAGCCACGATGATGAATAACAAATAAACATAGCAGCATATTGCAGCATCACATATTGAAGATAGGTAGATTTGATCATGATTCTTTTCAGATGTTTTTTTTTAAAGACTAATTTGCACATTACCGACCATTATCCTCATATAAAACATTTAAAATGTATGTAAATCCCTCAAAAAAAAAAAAAAAAAAAAAGACATTGTCGCGTCATCGGCTCTGAGACCCGATAGGGCGAAACTGGATAGAAAGTGCATAGACGATTTAATGATCTTTTTTTTCATGAGCTTTATGAGATTGTCAACATGTTAAAGTCATTAGCGATCTAATATTGTCGTATCGCCCACCACGACTACAAAACCAGCAACAAACTTTTTTCAGACCATTTAGACAAACATCAAAGTTGGTGAAAGCACAGCGCATGACTGTTAACAGGAATGTTAGCTCTCATGCTAATGCCAAGACAACATGAGAGGTGTCCAAACTGGTCCAAAAATGGAATCATGACATATTTCTTCCACTTAGACTTGACTGCCCCCATGTTTCATACATAATCTGCACGGCACAAACCTGTAAAATGGTGTATTAGCGCTCATGCAAACGCTAATTATTAGCGTTAGCATGAGCGCTAATATCATCCATTAGCGGCTAAAGGATGACATTGTTGATTCAATCTAGTTACCATCATCAACGCAGTTTTGAAACAGTTGTTTCGAGAGGGCGTAATTATACATTTTGCAATTGATTGGTGGGTAAATGTGTATATATAGCGTGATTTTCTTTTTAATGTTGGTTGTTTATGTTTGTTGACTGACTAACAATAAAATTTACATTCATGTCACAGCTCATTACCGGTAGTTTTCATCTACTGACCATATTAAATCGAATAGGCCAAGTTTGAATTATACGATTGCTTTACATCAGTATTTCCTCCCTCCACCTACTCTGACACACAAAAGTAACTCTTCTTTCCCTTCTCACATTTATACCCTCTCACTTTTAGTCTGCTTCACGGTTACTATTCTCAGGACGCATTTGCATACTTAAGTTTTGATGCAGACGCTTGTTTATTCCTCAGCCCGTACCGACCGTTATCTACTTAGTCGGTTCAATTTGCACACATTACCGTCGACTCTTGCTTCCGCTTTCATTTCTGCAGATGGGAGCAGGTTGCCTAATTATTTTTGGAACCCCGGGATGGGGAGTGGTGAGTGCACTTGAGGAATTAGCCGTTGTTGGTTTTTAAACCAAGATAACGCAGCGAGCGCGCTAAAGCGGAATTTGGATTCATTTAATCAATCATGCATGAACAATAACATATTAGACGGCGTTTTATTGGTATTTGGTGGCTAAGTGCCGCGCGCGTTTCTTCGACAACAGCACGGCTTCGCTCCTGATTAAAATGCGCCCTGCTTGCATATTTCATGTGACAGCGCCGCACGTTCTTGCACCTGCAACAGGTGCGCGCTTGTTGCGTGACAGCAGGTCGGTGCGAAACCTTAGACCGTGACTCTTAAACCGGTGTCACTGACTGACTGCCTGACTGCCTCGGCCTCTCTGATGACACACCGTCATGTAAGAGGAGACCTTCTGATGGCGTGCTGAAAGGAATTCGATACCTCAAAACAGATCCAACGCTCATAAAAATGTAGAAACATTTGCATGGTTAAATTGTGGTTGGCACATCTGCCTGACTGTCCAGAGACTCTACGTTCGAATCTCAGGCCCCCCCTCTAAAAAGCTTTATAATTGCCTATCGATGCCGCAAGTTTGCGGCAAAGCACTATTTTTGTCTTAGTGACCCTCCTCAACTCATTTCAACACGCGAGTTCCCTGGCATGGAGATGCAACGAGATGACTGCAAAGCACAATTCTTGTCTGCATGAAGTGCCTCAAATCACTTCAACATAGTTCCTTGACACTAACATGCCACAAGATGGCGCAGCGGCACAATTTTGTTTTTCTAAATGAAGCTCCTCAACTCATTTCAACATAAATCCTTGGGACAGAAATGCAAAAAAAAAAAATGTCTGTTAAGCACTACTTTTGTCTAAATAAAGCTCATCATCTATGTGTTTAAAGCGAACGTGAGTAGCAACGCAGATGTAATTTTTTTTTTTTTTTTAAATATGTTCTCACCGTATTTGGTTAGTTCTTTAAAGTGTCCCGCCGTGATCACGCGGGTTCACTCGACACAAAATGCACCCTGTGATTGGTTGGCAAATCTGTTGCGGTCGTACTTGAGTTATTTTCCTGATCGGAAAAAAAGTTTCCCTGCAAAAGAAATGGCGAGCACTCTCTTTTTCTCTTTTTCTCCCTTCCAACAGTAACGTTAATTACCGAGTGAGCTTCGGTGTTTCAATTGATTCACGTTGATAAAGCGGCCTCCATCTCACACGGTATAATATCATCCTGGTAGCAGGAGTAAATGCCCCCCCCCCCCACCATAATGCATTTCTCCGATGTCTCGCCTCTTTTTAATAACTGCCCATCTTTATAATGATCTTTTTTTCCCCCCCACTCCCAAACTGTTTCACGCTATTTAATTTTATTTTTTTTCATGCTTTTTGCTCTGCTTCTCTCTGGCTCCACTAACCTCTTCAGACTGGCAATACGAGGGTAAGAGGGCTGTTGTTTTAGTTTCCTCCTCGTGTATTCGTCTGCCACCCCCCCCCCCCCCCCCCCCCCCCCCCC